CAAACTGAAATGTGGACTCTGGGTGGCAATCAAAGAATCGCTTTTAGATTCTGGCAGTCCGGTTATAACCGGATAAAGTCTCTTCTAAATTATCAAGACATTATAGTGGCTGTCATTTATTTAACCCACAACACCATGAATTGTTGACTTGTACAGATTGAACTAATAGGTGACTGGAAACTATTTGCACAAACAGTGGGGATTGTGGATAGGGCAAATCTTCCAATAATATTAATTCACAGCAGCAGAGTCACGCCTATCGTATTAATGGAGGTCATAATGAATCAAGGAGGACATTAAGATAGAAAGTAAATAGTGATTCTGGGCCTCTATTCACTGGGCATCCTCAAGGAAAGAGATTCAAACCAGAGTCCACCTGCTTCTTCTCATACTAGTGTATTTCAGCCTTAAGTCCAATGGCTACAGGTGAGTTTGAGGTAAAACCCAGCTCACTTAGTAAGGTTTCCACATCAAGTCTTTTGGGTGTGGTCTGTGGTAGTTCCATAATCTGGTATCAACTTGTAAAGGGGTGGAGTCTAGCCTGTCAATCAGGTCACAGCTTGATGATCTCATTTGAAGGCGCCACAGAGATAACTAGCTCACTGGAGACCAGATACAGGTAGACTCTGCTTCGTCTTCATGCTGACAAGACACATGGAGCTATGCTAGAGCCCGGGGGTTGGAGGAGCCCCATAGAGACCCACACCAGCACTGAGGTGCTTCCACTGCCACTGGATCCACAAGACTTTCCACCCACTGGCCTGTGATCTTTCTTCCTGCATTCAGTGTCATTGCATGTGCCGTATGAGTCTGAAGAATTTATAGTCTCGTAATGGACATATGGGCTAATATCAGATTTATGGACTTAATCTGAACTGGGATGGGTTGTTTTCTTAATGTAAAATTGCTCTGTGATATAAAGTTCTCTCTTACACACATGTGAGTCTCCCTGGATTTGTTTCTCTAGTCTACCCAGACTGATACATCTATGAAAGATGTGCGCCTTGAAAGAATGTACAGTCCTACTAGTCTATGGAGCATGGACTGGGTCACCAAGGGTTACATAAAAGCTAGGTTGAAAGTATCCAATTAGGATTCAAATAGAAAGAAAAGGTTTAGAAAATGATGATGGCAACATATGTACAAATATGCTTGATACAATTGATGTATGGATTGTTGTAAGAGCTTTAAGATCCCCCAATAAAATAATCTTAAAAAAAAAAAAGAATGTATCCAATTAGGAAACTAGTACCAGGTATATTCTCCCTTTGAGTTACACTAAGTGTTGTTAAGCAATTTTTCCCATTGGGAAGTTGTGTCTTCCTGTTTTCCTCCAATGGAGGTATAATTGCCTTCTCTGAGACTTCCATGCCCAAAAGGGTCCTTTTGACCAACAGCAGCAGAGCATTAAACTGAGTGCACAGGTTTCATACCCCTCTAACTCATCCTGCCCAGACATCTGCTCATTAAACTAAAATAAACTAAATATTTTTTTGTTAAAAATCACATTTATACTATAATACTAGGTTTATAAAATTATTTATCTCTGGCTATCTGTTCTTTCACTTGTATATATAATGAGTAATGGTTATATAATATTACTAATGCTAAGAGATATGGCTAATAAAACTAATCCCTTAGGGAACCACTGCTTTAATTTTTTTAAGTCATGTAGTCTTATTTGCCTTTAAAATTATTTTGGCCCAAACTAAATTTGAGATTTAAAAAGAGATAAAGGTGGAGAGTTGATAAAAGAGGGGTCCTCCGCTGGAAAGTGTACATTGAGTACTAAATAGAATAAAGAGAAACACATTACATCTAATCACAAACGAAACACCTACTGAAACAGAGGATGAGCAGAGCATCAAACATTGGGGGAGGGGCTGGGGAGGATATAGCAATGATTGGATTAGCACAGATTTTTTTTAACGTGCTGTGTTGTTTTTTAAATTTTAATTTCTTATTTTAATTGCAAATTGGTGGGGATTTACATTTCAGGTAATCAATTTTGTTTGTTTTTTAACTGTTTTATTGGCACTTCATCCACGTGTGTCTTATAATTCAACAATTTAATCATATCAAGCAAAGCTGTACAATCAGAGTTTAATAAATACTTTTCTTGTTTTCAACATCCCTTAGTTGAAGCGGGGGGACAGTCGGCAGAGTACGTTGATTTTCCCTTCCGCAGTCCGCACACATTTCACTCATGGCACTGATGCTCACGAGGGAGAGGCGCTCTTCTCCCTCCTCCTCAGCTCCCTTACACTTCCTTCGCGCCCGGTCCTGCGTGCTCAGCTTCGTGTCCCGGGAAATGCTGATGTGCTTGATCGTTCTAAGGAACACATACCTCCCTGGTGGCCACTGCATAAACTTGTCTATCACTTGGTTGAGTCACCGAGCTGAGCTCAGTTCAAGGATTGAAGGATATCTAGGAGCCATAGTTTGGGGTTTCTAGCAGAGAAGTAAGCCTGATCTTTATAATTTTTTAAAAAAGCTTTTTATTGTGAATTGGATGAAGGACGCAATCACAGAGCAGATCATCAGTTTTACATTCAACAGTTCATAGTTTACTCCATCGCATTCACTGTAATCTCCTCAATGCAGCACCACACATCCCATCTCCTCCCTTTGTTTCCCACCTCTAGTCCGCCTTCTCGTCTAAACATTTTGAACTTTGTTCTTGGACAAATTCTGCCCCCTTAATCCCAAACGTTCACTTATTGAATAATGTTATTGTTCCTCATATAGACTTGCTTGTTGTTTGGCTGAAAATTAAGCCATGCGGTGAGTTCAGTTCCGGTTCTGAAGGGCGACTGAGGTCCACAGTCTTGGGGGCTCCACCTGTCTCTTTCTGCAGTCAGCTTGAACTTTTTATGATTTTGAATGTAATTCCATATTTCCCCCCACACTCTATATAGGACCTCCTATTGTGATCCTTTTGGGTAAGGTAGGCCATGGTAGCTGGGCCTAGTAGCTAGTTCTTCTGGTCTCAGAGTCATGGAGGCTATGGTTTGAGTGGTTCATTGATCTCTTGGATTAATTGTTTCCATGAATGTTTTCACTTTTCTTTAGTCTGGACAGAGAGAGACCAATATTTGCACAACTCAAATACTTTTATTGCTATAGTTAGTGTCGTCCTTCGTGATCATCCGGTATCTTTCCACATCCTACCTATATTTTGAGATACTTCCTCCTATAAATCCCACTTCCCCAAGGATAGGTCAGAACACCCACATGTCCTGCTTTTCTACCCACTAGTGGACAGCCCTATGACCCCGAGCCTCACAGTTTTAGCAACTCTCAGGTTTCAGAACTAGCGCTGTGAAGAGGTGGACACATGTGAGGGAATCCACCCTCTGGAAAGTGCAATGGTGGATGCAACTTGTTCTTCCAGGGCAGCAGTGAAGGGTTTCTGGCATTCGGTCCTGAGTATTATTGGTTCTAGACAGTGGCCTCTGGTGCTTTAATTAGAATAAACTTACAGTAAAGACAGAAATGTTACCAACTTTATGACCCTTCTAGGGATTTTGTGAGATAACAAATTCAGTTTCATCAAGTCAATTCTGATCAGTGGTATATTATTGTATACAATGTATGTAAGGCATCATCACTTGCCATTGAGTTCAACGGCAACCCCACATGTGTCCAAGTAGAACTACGCTACATAGGGCTTTTAATGGCTGGTATATATACATATTTTAAAATCATTTTATTGGGGGTTCATACAGCTCAGATCACAATCCATACATCCACCCATGTGTCAAGCACATTTGTACATTTGCAGCCATCATCATTTTCAAAACATTTTCTCTCTACTTGAGCCCTTAATATTGGCTCCTCATTTTTCCCTCCCTCTCCCACCTTCCCTACCTCACGAACCCTTGATAATTTATAATTTTTTTTCATGTCTTACACTGAACGATGTCTCCTTTCACCCACTTTTCTGTTGTCCATCCCTCTGGGAGGGGGTTATAGGTAGATCATTGTGATCGGTTCCCTCCTTCTCCTCCCATCTTACCCTTACCCTCCTGTATCGCTACTCTCATGATTGGTTCTGAGGGGTTTATCTGTCCTGGATTCCCTGTGTTTCCAGCTCTTATCTGTACCTGTGTATATTCTCTGGTCTCGCTGGATTTGTAAGGTAGAATTGGGGTCATGATAGTGTGTGTGTGGGGGAAAGCATTAAAGAACTAGAGGAAAGTTTTATGTTTCCTCGGTGCTATACTGCACCCTGACTGGCTCATCTCTTCCTTGTGACCCTTCTGTAAGGGGATGTCCAATTGTCTACAGATGGGCTTTGGGTCTCCACCACACTCCCCCTCATTAACTTTGATATGATTTTTGTTCCGGGTCTTTGATGAATGGTGGTTATTTTGAAAAGAGGTCCCCGGCCTTTCTTTTGAGCCCCTCTGGGCAAACTCTAATTCCAACCTTTCAGTTAGCAGCAGAACCATTTGAACATCTCAGCAACATGAGATAATATAGATCTTTTTTTCATAGATCTTTTAATAAAGACCAATTTGCTTAAATTAGGCACATTATAATTTGTCATCAAATATTAAGGATCCTAAAGAATGGAGTCGCCAAACTTTATACAGACCAGCTCACTCACTTGTTCAAGCTTCTACTTTTTCAAATTCTTGCTCAAATCACTTCCTCTCTTATTTTCATGTATATAGTGTTTTCAACTCTGTATCACAGCACCCCTGAACATTTTTAAAAGCGTCTCCAAGAGACTATACTAGATGCATTTGTTTATGGGCCCTTACTACACGAGTCTTCATTTCCTCTACCCACATTTGAGTGCAGACGTCTTGAGTGACAGAACCAGGTATCTTCACTTTGTTTCTGTTCCCCAGCACTTAGAAAAGGGCTGTCCCCACTGTAAAGTAGGCACCACAGAAACAGCCTGGCTGGCGGAGCAATCGTGTACCATTGGGAGACTGTCATTGATTCATCTAAGATCCTTCAGTAAAAAAGAAGGAGCCATTATCCAGCAAAGTGTAACCTTTAATTGCACAAGAGCTGTGGATGGAAAGAGGGCAGCGGGAGCCAGCAAACTCATCACCAGTTGCAGCAGGAGCAGGAGGCATCAAAGACAAGGCCAGCCTGGCAGTGCTGAGTGAAGGTCTGCCCGTTCACACAGTTGTAGAAGGCGTTCTTATCGGTGGGGTCAGGGTACAGACCACTAGCCCTGTTGGCACAGAATCCACTGCCACTGGGGCTGCCCCCAGAGCTACTGCCGGAGCTGCCTCCAGAGCTGCCGCTACCACTACCGCTGCCTCCACCAGTGCTAGGAGCCTCCGTGATGGGAGCAACGGGCTGGGCTGGGGCTTTGCAACCTGAAAGGAGATAAACCAAATCATGAGCCACCCAGGTTTTCCTCAATCATGCCTGAGGTATGTTGTTTTTTTAAATCGTGGCTCTTCCTCAGTCTGGTAAGCCCTCCATCCTTCCTTCTCTTTGCTTGTCCTCTCCATTATCATTCGTCAGGGAATAGTTCATTTCTCTCTCCTCTCTTGGTCACCCAATGCTTCGAGACTTCTCATTTCCATAAACCCACAAGTAACTTTCTTATTCCTTTCTTGACACTCACGTATGTACTTATATCCTTATATGTTTATATTATCTTCCATAGAAGTTTGTAAGCTTCTACAGAAATTGTGACTTGAATAATTTAGATCCTTTAGGAATAATGGGTGGTACAATGGGTAAACACTTGGTCACAAGCCAAAAGATTGGCACTTTAAGTCCGCCCTTGGATTCCTTGCAAGGCAGACCTGCGGATCTGCTTTCAAAAGGTCAGTCTTGACGAGTCTTTGGAGCAGTTTTACTCCGACACACATGGGGTTGCAACGACTCGGGTCAACTCAATGGAAACAACATGGTATTCACAGAGTGCTGCACATATAAGACAGGCTCAAAAAATCGCTTGTGAGATGAACATTGTATAAAGGACAGTGCCCTCTTTGTTCTCCCTACCATTAATGAAACGCTACCAAATATCAATGGAGCCAAATTAACCACATCCAATCGGACCCACTGGCTGGCTAACTGATTCCAAGTCACTCTAAAATCAATCGCAGAAGGGATCTCTCACTTTCATTAAGCCTTAAAACTTCTCTCAAGCCCGAGACTCAGGATGCCTGTCCAACTGTAACTCACTTGCACTCTGCAGCCCCAGGGCATCCTTCAGGGTGGTGATCAGTGGGAATTTGCCCTGGTTGCAGAAAGTGCCCGTGAAGTCATCCAAGTCAATGGCCCAGACCATGGCTCCTCCAAAATTGTTCTTCTTCAGCCAATCAGCCTGCGGTCAAAAGAAATTTAATTAAGTCCAGATATCAAGGCCAGACTCTGATTTCAGGGCTACACATAGGGACAATGCAACAACCCTCCACAGAAAAGTGTTTACCTTAATGTGGAAGCTCTTGGTGTTGTCGTACCCAGCCCACTCGTTGCCTTTGTAAGCATAGGGAACATCCTCAGAAGCCTCCCACACCTGAGTAGCTCCACTCTTCAGGAATGTACAGATCTAAAAGGATAGAAGGAAGAGGTCAAGAGAGTCAAAACGTCTACGTGGCAGGGGTAAAAAGGTATTGGGGAGAGGACGTCGAGAAGAGAGACATGGAAGCTACGTGGCAAGAAAGGCTTGCAAATCCAGCAGCAAATGTCTTGGTGTATTGGGGATCCTGATTCTGTGTCCCATTTCAGTCACTTATTTACAATGTGTGGTAAAACTCTGAAATCAAGAGATGCCCTGGTCTCCACAGAGTGATAGGACCTCACTGATGAGATTTCATATTCTCATGTGCCCTAAAGAATTCTAGTGAGATTCCAACCCAAATTGTGCAACCGAAGTGCTTGTCTTGTCTCTCTTCTAAATTAGCCATAATCGGCCCCTTCCAACTCCAACCACATGCTAAATGGAGCAAAGAAGTGTTGAAAGATGCGGTTCATGACACTGTTAAATACAAGACGAGGAGAAAGCCTTGTTCTTCCCTCTCACTAAAATTTCTGGGCACATACCTCATAATAAGCCCAGAACCCAGACTGCCTGGTGTAGGGCCCAGCAGGGCCAGGGCCAGTGATGGGGGCACCAATGCCATGGTTGGAGGGGTTGCTCAGCAGGAAGGTGTGTCCGTAGGCTGGGAATCCAACAATGAGCTTCTCGGCGGGGGCCCCATTGTCCTTCCAGTAGTTCATGGCGTACTCCTGCAACGGCAGTGGGATAGCTAGAGGCCCCGTGCAGCGGATGTCCTAATATCATCAGCTAAACATTGCATGGTTGTGCGTGCTGTATGAAGTATGTGGAACATGTATTAGAACCTTATTGACCTATCTCTGTTGTGGTATGTCTTTATCTTAACTACCTTCCTACCTCAACTACTAGTATTCTAATGTGGAACCTTTACATACACCCTTTACATTACAAAAAATATGATAGAAGAATCAAGCTATCAAGCTGTTCTTTTTCATGATTTTCCTGGCATGATTCATTAGTAAATAATTAAAACTCTGCATATTAAAATGTACAAGAGGTTAGAATAGTAGAAAACACAAAGAGAATAGGGAAAAAAAGGAAAAGTAGTGAATCGTTTTCTACATCATCAAAATATGAAGAATAGGACCTCATATTCTTTTATTGGAAATAATGCAATGGTTATTAACCTCCTTTACTATCTGGTTAAATTGTCAGTTCAATGTTAATAATCTGGTGATTTTTTAATAAATGGTAACTAGCCAATTGATTATAGCTATCTAATTTCCCATTTGAGAAATACGAGTTTATGATGCCTCTTGTTTCTGATTCTCCATTTGATTTACAACATTGTCTCTGATGTGCATGTGAATCTGGACAGAGGCTCACCACATTGAGGTAGGCGTTGCTGCCGGTGTCAGTAGGATACTTGTAGAGAGGGCTGTTCTCTCCTGTGTAGCCTTCCCACGATCCATGGAGGTCATAGGTCATGACATGGATGTAATCCAGGTATCTGAGGTGGGATAAAGGATTCAGAGTTAGGCAAAAGATACCATGTCCAAAGTCTGAACACCAAGGCAACTAAGACTCCCGCCTAAGTCACATCTGATGCTCAAAGGGGACATCACTCACTGGGCCAGCTGGGGGATCTCATAGCCAGACTGGATGTTGGAGATGCCCGCAGCTACAGCGGCCGTGACCATCAGCCTGGGCTTGTTGATTTGCTTAGCTTCTTTCTCAAAAGCTTCACGCATTTCCTATTCAAGAATAGGAGAAAGTCTGTGATTCTCAATGGCAAGTTGGCTGCCATGATGCTTTCCATCCTTCCTTCTTCACCATCCTCACTAGAAAGTGGTCTCCGTGTGTTTTGTCACCAGCTGAAATTTTGGGGGAGCCCTAGTGGCTGCAAACTATGAGGTCAGCAGTTCAAACCCACCACAAGCTCTTTGGGAGAAAGATAGCGCTTTCTGTTACCATAAAGATTTACAGCCTCCAAACGCCCTAGGGCTCTACTGTGCCCCATCTGGCCACTGTGAATTGTAATAGATTCAACGGCAAGTGAGGCTGCTTATTTTCTGTTGTTATTTTTTAAGGCTTTCTATATAGCCACGGTAATCTTTTGTATGAAAATGGTTGTAAGCTTTTTAATCAATGATGTGACATTCAGCTCACCTGCACCAGGACGGTGAAGAGGTGCTTGTCCTGAGGAGGGCTCCCACGAGAGCCAGGATACTCCCAGTCAAAGTCCAGCCCATCAAACTCATACTGACGCAGGAATTTGATGACGGAGGCAATGAAAGCCTGGCGGTTCTCAGGAGTGGAAACCATGGCAGTGAAACTGAGGGAGACCCAAAGAAGGCAGGCTCGAGGAAAGCCTCAGCAGTCCCCGCACCTTGTAGTAAAAGCTGGTTAGGGAGTCGTCTCAAACAACCAAAACAAAAGCACTTACGGAGCGGTTCCAAAGTTCCAGCCTCCAAGAGCCAGGAGAGTTTTCAGCTGACTGTTCCTAAGGGTGAAAAAGCAAAGTATAATGTCTGCGGGGAAAATAGGAAGAAAGATAAGATATTTCAGCATTAGCTATTATGTTGAGTGAGAAGTCAGGAAATGTCTAATCAGCTTCTCAGTCTATCAGCGTCTCATACTACGGTGCCTGGCATGTTGCTGCGATGCTGGAAGCTGTGCCACTGGTATTTCAAATCCCCGCAGGTCACAGGTGATGAACAGGCTTTGGGGGGTGCTTCTAGACTATAAGACACTCTAGGGAGAAGGGCGTGGCCATCATCTTCTGAAGATCAGCCGATGAAAGCGTTACGGATCACCACACAACACTGTCAGCTGCAGAGCTGCTGGGAGATGCAAGCATGCCAATAGTCATGAAGATGATGCAGTGTGGGTAACGTTTCGCCTGTTACATGTAAGGTCATCCGGAATCAGAGTCAACTCAATAGCAACTAAGAAGAAAAGCAACAAGCCATTCTATCCTTATTCTCCTCCCCATTTCCTAAATTGTGATAGCGATGGGAGGAGTAAGTTAAGGTTGATAGAGATCAGCATCTCCATAGTTTTCATTTCTGACCTGAGAATGAAGTCCATGTCTTAGGAGATTGAGTGCCTCATAGGTGTCAAGTTTGGATTGCTTCCAAATAGGAGATGATTTTAATCTGGGTCCATGAGTAGTTGGACCATTTTAATCACATGGAGTCTCTGGATGGTGAAAATGGCTAAGTAAGGTGTCAGTTCAAATCCAGGGGAACATTGAAAGAAAGACCTGACCATCTACATCTGAAAAATCAGCCCTGGAAAACCCTCTGGAGCACAGTTCTACTTCAATGCACATGGGGATGGGCCAGGAGTCAGGATCGACACAGTACATCTGGTTGGCTGCTTCTTTCATCACTCACTTGTTTTTCAGCCCATTGAAAGCTTGGTAGAGAGTGACGTCATTCCACTCGATGGTGGTGATCTCGTTGTTGCGCATCCCAGCAAAGGCGTAGATGAGGTGAGTGCACAGGCAGGGGTCGATGTCATCGGGCTTGAAGCGCCCCAGGCCTGGCCGGTACTGGGCCCAGTTGGTGAAGTAGCATGTCAGCTGGTAGGCAGAGCCTGTGACCCGGAGGAAGGGGGTGAGAAACTATCATAGGAACGATCCCAAGGGAGTGAAATGCTGCCTAAGAAAGCACAGATTTAAATCTTAAACGGAGGATGTCTTTGTAGTCCTTGTGTGTTCCAACAAATCCACGATGAGCGAGTACTTGAGGACTGGAGATAGTTCCATCCCTCTAGCAAGACTTGTAGAACGACAGAAAGCAACACCGTTCACCCGATGGAAAAATCCTCAAGTAAACATATTTAGATGTACTCTAGCTCCCTCTAGACCAGTGGTTCTCAACTCTCCCAATGCCGTGACCCTTTAATACAGTTCCTCATGTTGGGGTGGCTTCCACCCCCAACCATAAAACTATTTTCATTGCTACTTCATAACTATAATTTTGCTACTGTTATGAATCAGGCAACCCCTGTGAAAGGGTTGTTCGACGCCCAAAGGGGTCATGACCCACAGGTTGAAAACCACTGTTCTAGATGTTTATAATCACAATCACTAATACTTAATTAGCACTTGTTATGTACATAATCCTAATTACTTAGAGTTACTCCTTAATTCTCACTTCAATTCCATGAGTCTATTTTACCTTTTTGGAAACACAAGTACAGAAAGGTTGATAATATAAACCTATTTAGCACTTGTATCTGCATCCATTGTTATTGGTATCGGTGGCTGCCATTGGGGTGACCCTACCCATGGTGACCCCATGTGTTACACAGTACAACCACTCTCTAGGGTCACTCAGGCTTCTTTCCCGCAAGTATTCTTGTTTGGGTTCAAATCACCCACCTTTAGGTTGGCAGTCAAATGCAAACCCTTTGCACCACTCGGGACCCCTTTCCTAGAGAAACTGAATACGAATTCTACCCAGAGGAGAATGAAAAGGCTCATCAAGCAGGAGCCAGGACTCCTGACCCCTCATTTACACTGTGCCATGACTTCCTCTCATTATCCGGGGCAAGTCAACCTATCTCTCTCTTAGGTTAACGGTCTCTGAGATGAAATGTTAACACATTTACTGTCCACCTCAAAAAGAAGAGTTGTTTTAAAGACTTAAGATCATTGATTTCAAAAGGCTTTCACAGAACTAAAGGCACCATGCAAATGCCTTGCACTATGAACTTTTATTGCTAACATTTCTCTTTAAGATAACGACCTAGCTGGCTTCAAATTTGACATTTCCTAGGCAAGTGGCCCCAATCCTTTAATTGTTTGTTAGGGAATTGCCAGCCCTCTTTAAAAATCAATTTAATATTTTTTGTTAGTAGAGGAAGAAGAGAGGCTCATGCTAAGTTTTCTAATTAAGAAGCAGCCAAAAAAAAAAAAGAGCGGGGGTGGGGGGTGGGGGAATACGGTATTTAATCCCAAGAAGAACACTCACCTAACTCAGCTGTCAGCAGAAGCAGCAGACCTTAAAGCAACAGAGACAATGGTGAGTTGGAGGAACAAAGTAACCCCTGTGAACAATTGACTTCACCTTTGCATTAGGAAGCTTTCTTTGTGCAGTTACTCTTTGGGTCCTTTGGGGAGCCTCTGAAGACTCCCAATTCCTACTGATCAGCTCAGAAGTTCTCCTGGAAACTCAGAGCTTTCTGTCCCCACTCAAAAGACCCTTAAAAGTAACATACTTCTCTAAGGCTCAGCAAACAGGAGGCAGGGTCCTGAAAAATCTATCACTAAAGAAGCAATATGAGTCCCCATACTTTCGCCAATAACCATAATCTCAAGGGTTTGGGTCTGGATTAGAAAGCAAAAGAAAGTTCTCCAGGGCAGGAAAATAGGAGGAGAGAGTGCCCCACAGGCACAAAGTGGAGGCAGATCCTTACCAGTGAGGAGGGTGAGCTGGGCCATCCTGCTTCAGTGGTGGGGCCTCCCTCATCCAAGCGCCCTTTAATATTCCCTCCATCCTCTTCTGGCTGGATCAGATTTGCCTTTATCATGATTGGCTCTAAATCAAATGTTGATATTGGCCATACTTACAAAGTTCAAGGCTATTTAAGAGCCCATTAGTAGTAGGGAAACAATACTATCGTGATTTCATTTTACAAAAAAGAGCTGGGAGGCAAAGGGTATTTATAGAGCTCTAGATAAAGACATATACATATACAAATATATTATATGAGGATGGGGAAATAGATCTATGAGCCTACATTTATAGGTTTGGTATTAAGGTAGCAGAAGGACATTG